TGTTACAGTAGGGAAACAGTTGAGCTTTTAGGGGAGAGTTGGTTAAGAAGTTGTTGAGTGGTTAGAGGTAGTTGAAGATATTTTCCAAAATATCTCCCCTTTAAATACCCCAAGATACATTGTACATTGATGTTGAGTAATGAAATAACTCTTTTCTACATCCTTCTTCTTCCCCCACTTCTCTGTCACGTAACAGAAGCTTTACAGCTTCTGTGTTTTAGCTCATCCTCGAAGATCTCTTCTCCATTACAAGATCTTCCTGCATTGACGCTAACACAAAGCTAGGCGTGGAATGCTAGTTCGGGCCTCAAGGCTTTGGGCTTAAATAAATCCTTCTATTTACAAGAGCAGCAGGAAAAATTTCCCGCTCAGTTGTCTGGGACCAATACTAAAAGGGATGTGACATAGGCTTTGTTTGGGAACAGCGTTTTCGATTAGCGTTAGCGTTTTGAATAAAATTTTAATGGTGTAGATTAATTCTGAAAACGCTAACTCTAAAGGCTACCATCCGATAGCCTTTTCAAAACGCTAACGCTAATAGCTAACGCTGATGCCAAACGGGGCCATAAGCAACGACGTCGGTTGCGGTACATCATTTCTTATTAAAAAAAACCGCAACCCAAGTCCCAACCACCCACTAAAGCACATCGTGGAACAATTAATCTGATAAGGTGTAGCATTTCAAATGGCAATGGACAGATTGAGTACTCAATCGATCGGAATGAAGCAGAGAAGGGGAGAGAAGGGAGCAACTTGAGAAAGAAGGAGAAGGTGAAGGGTGTCGTTGCAGGAGCACTGTTCATCATCTTCCTCGAGTTTTACCTAGGGGTGGGCACGGGTCGGGACGGTTCGGGTTTCTTACAATCCCGCGTCTTGTCCCGTTATATTCAAACGGTTCGGAACGGTTCGAACCACAAGCCTATCCCACTTTGTCCCATAATTTTCGGGACCGGGACAAAACGGAACGGATTCGGATTGTCCTACTTTTTCCTAATTTTAGGACAATAATAAAAATTGAAAACAAAAAGATTGAAAATAAATGCTACAACAATGTCAACAAGTATTAATTGTTAAGTACTCAAAATGTTTCACGAGATACGTACGGAGTAATATATGTGTGTTTATATATACACACACACACACACACACACACATATATACATACATATATATATATATAATGTTTTTAGAAGAGTATATAAAACGGGACTAACGGGATGGAACGGTACACTTGTATGTTATCCCGGTAATGTCCCACTTAAAATCGGGACAGACGGGACAAAAATTTGAATCCAAAAAAAAAGTACAATTTCAAAACGGTTCCGGCACGTTTCGGAACGGGTCAACGGGAACGGTTTTCGTGCCCGCCCCTAGTTTTACCCAACGGCTGTAGACTGTAGTACATCCGAATTTCATCAATTTCTTCTTATATTTTTTCATAATTAAGGTTTCAATCCATCTACTCTTATATATCTTCATATCAATTTCATGTTAATTTTATCAATTAATCAATCTATAAGTGTTCTTCAATGTCCCAGGTATGTCACATCCCTTTTCAGTTTGCAAATTTACAGAGGCAAAGAGGAGTCACCACATGTTCGATGAAATGTCTTTGTGAGTCCTGTGAATGAAACTTCAATTCTTCATGTTACTATGGCATTCCTATGGGTTTCTAATACACCCAAGGGACCCTGCCACCCTCATCATTATGCCACCACTCATTATTTACTCTTCTTTTATATATCATTCATTTAAAAAAATTCTTATATATGGGAGAATCAAGAGGCCATTTGTTAAAGTTATGTAATGATGATCTTCTATAAGTTAGAGAGGAGCAGCGAGAGTGGGAAAGAGGAGTCATCTTCTTCTATCTTTCATAAGGACATGCACAAGCATCAAAATCTATAATGGTTAGAATTAACATCTCACACTTTACCCTAGGATTTGTGTATCTCCGCTGTAATTTAGTGTTTTGTTGAAGAATTTATACAACCCAGAACAATATTATTTGATTTTTTGTTTAATGTTACATCTTAAGTGAAATCCAAGTTTATTTATAACAAAAACTAATGGCAAAAAGTTGATTTTTCCATCATCTTCATTAGTTATAAGCTATTGTTCATGTTTGAATTTTAGCATCAGTTTTAACTTCTAGGCAATTTCTAGGTTATATTATGAGCACTTTTCTCACTTATTGTTGCTTTTATATTACTCCATACTGGATTTTACTCCATACTCCAGTTTCTCCACATGTTTCACACTGTTATGTGGAAGTGTAGAACACTCTTCTCACACAATCTTGAAGGCATCTTTGACTATTTGAACTATATATTTCCATATAATTTTCTGAATAATCATTTTCTCCATATCCGTTCATCATAGAAATATGTAACTAATGTAAGAACATGAAAAGAAATCAAGCCGAGAGATATAATTTTCATTTTGTGCATTTGTTTATGAAGTTGTGGAATAGGCAATTTGGACTCTATTATTGAGCTACTGCTTTTATTAACCATGTAGATGTTAAAGAAGCTATTGGTATTGATATATCACAAAGCCATATAATGCTTTTAAGATCTTACACCATCCGATGCAATGAAGATGTGAAGCTGGACTGCTAAGTGAAGGATCAAGAGGTAGGTCACTAACATTTTGTTTGATATCTAATGGTGACTTATCCTTTAATTCCTATAATGTTTTATTGTTAAGAGTTTGCATAAATCCTTTCATATATGTCTATAGTATTTTTCTTAGCATATGTTTAGCTTCTTCAGGTTGCTCAAATCACAAGAGGGAATGAACAAATGAAAAAATGTTTAGCCTCTACACTAATAATATGAATTGCATGTATTTAGTATCTTTCTCGAGCTCCACTCTATTGTTTTCCCTCATTTCATATTAGTTTTTATTCTCTTAAATAAATTTTTTTCATTAAATACACGGGATGTTCTGTTCAATGCTTTGCTCAGATCTAAAATTGTATTCACATCACTTTAAAGATGTTCTTAACAAAGTAATAGCAACAGGTGAGATATTGTTTTTTTTCACTGGATGAAATTTTTGAGCAAAAAATTGATTTAGGTCATGTAATGAATCTCTAAAAAGACTAAATTCTACTGATGTTCTATTGAATTTTTTCCATGTAGTTAGTGATAACTAAATTAATTGACTACTAATTTCATTACACCCACCTCAATAATTGATCTTTCACGTAACCTTGCACAAAGCTAAGGCACATTTAATATATCCCTGTCATTAATTGTGTGTCTTGCATCATCACGAGTTCATTTTTTTAGCCTACCATAAGTATCAACGGTTGTAATATTGGAAGGAATATAGTCCTAGAATTTATAAGATTTCAAGTTTACTTTTAGAATTTGTTTCCTATATATTTGCTAATGTGCTACCTCTTCCTTTATTTAGGTAATGTATAGGTATGTTTTAGTGCATGGATACTATGTAGTTTTTTATAAACATAGCCTTGCTGGCTTGCTGCCATGGAGCTAAAGAGACAAACTTGGATTTGCCACAGAAACTACAACGCTTGGTTTTTCGCCATAAAGAACTCAAAATAGCTACTGATGATTAAAACTGAAGTACATCATGCTTGCTTGGTATGAGTTACATTGCCAATTAGCAGTTTACTACTTTGATTTAAACAGTTATAAGGTTTTTATATTCGATTCTGAATTCTTTAGTGGTTTGAGATAGATAATCATAAACTTTAAATTTTGTCTTCTGATTTTTAATTTGTTGAACATAAAAGTTGAAATTTGAAAT